TTATCCACTACGCTACCGAGCTACTCTGAGGTATTGCATATAATTTTACTCTTAAAAAATACACAAAATCTGTTAGTAAATTTATTTTGCACATTAAAGTTCTAATGTATCTCAATTTTCAGACGTAGTACCTACTTTATTTATCCGCTTGTTGTAAGGATTTATCAAATTGGTACTTTTAGCACACTATCTCCTATCTATTATAAATTAGTTTAAGTACTCACTTAAACTTTGACTATGTCAAATAAAGAAAAGTTTAATAATTAGCTCTATATCGTATGTATATATAAAAAAATTAAAACATAAGACTAAGTAATTACTTAAGCACATATTTTTATCCAATAGATGAGAATTTTGTTGAAGTAAGAACACCTACAAATGCAACTGGGAACAACAGCTTAATGTGCGTTTCGGAGAAGCACGAGAAAAAAAATTGGTCACCCATCCCGACCAATCTTTGCAAAACTTGCTTAACAACAACGATCGCGGGCCACGGCGTTTATCCACTAAGCCATTAACGTATCCTACTTCATTCAAATTCTTGTTTATTTTGTAAAAATATCTGCTTGATTATGACATACTATTTTCAAGAAATTACTTCTCTCGACTATAGATACAAGTCTTAGTTAACTTTATAACTAAACTAAAGCATGTTCTCAAAATAATTTAGGCTGTTATCCTTTTGTTACCAATGTTAGGTACATACCATTGATTATGCTTAATTATACAGTGTGCCGTGACACATTCGGCATTGACAGATGATATTGCATTGCTAACATTAATCTTCCGCTATGGTCATTCGTCAACTGGCACGCAATTTTGGGTGTTACTCCTAAATATACGATAATCGGACAATATTCATTACGTTTCAGTAGTAATACAGTACCAAGCGGTGATTAAATACTTTTTGGGCCAAGTATATTTATTTATTTATTTTCTCATCACAAAGGCAGTAAATAGGTTGAAATACAGAGTTTAAATTACCGGAGTTACCCTTGTGAGAGACTTGAGTCTGCAAAGGAACCGATTATGACCTGAATTGCAGATCACCAGGCCCCCACATCGCAAAAATAAAAAAGAACCTATATGTATTACAATTTGAGCGCGCGTGCGATTGTGTGAGATTCTGTGTGTGAGTGTGAGTGTTTGTGTGTATGTGAGTGTATGTGTGTGTGTGTGTGTGTGTGTGTGTGTGTGTGTGTGTGTGTGTGTGTGTGTTAGCGCGTGTGTGCTTGATAAACCCAATACATATATAAAAATGTTTATGATCATGACACTACAAAAAGCAGATTCTCTGTAGCATCGTAATCAAGTTGTTGTAGCCAGATCAGAATTGACAATTTAGCATTTATAAAACATTTATTTATAGATAGATAACACATTATTTATAGATAGATAAATGTTTATTTATATTGTTATATAAATAACTTCCTAGAAAAATAAAGAAATTATGGGAAAATTTTGTGTTAGTCTGTGTACATACACAAACAGCGAGAGTTCGTCTTCTATTAGCTAACAATAAGAGAGTTGGATTGTAGTCTATCTGGCAGTGTTTCCTAAGAACTGTGCCTATAATAAAAAGTTGTCGGACTGTCATTACATTACATCGCTTATAAAAGTCATAGGTGGGATGTTGAAAATCTAGACAGAAACCAACCTTCAGTACAGTTCTCTGAGCTATTTCGAGTTTTAAGAGTGTAGATTTTGAAGTTTTAGATTTTGAGTGTAGATTATTTTATTTGATTGCTCAGCGACATAAGAAAAATATTTGAAATGCCAACAATATTCTATAATCAGCAATTGTTATTAAGAACAGGCGGGCTACTCTGTTTCTTCGAAAATGAAAATTTGAATAATTGCGACACGGTATTAGGACTCCATTTTATCATATTTCCTTAGAATTGTGACCTAAAGAAAGTATTACTGTGCCGATCAATGGTGCAGATAATTTGAAATTAAATTAGAAATGTCGTTTTCGGTGAAACAGACCAGTGCGATTCTGTAAAATTCCAGACCCGAAATCGAATTCACTCATGTGTCCACTCACTTCACTTATGCCATGAAACGTTAGATGATTTAGATGTTTTAGACAATCCATTTATATCAACAACATAAATATCTGCTAATATAATTTTATGATTGTTATATATTTACACGAAAACAACACCATTGATTTTGATAATCTGATAATTTGTGGTATAATATGACGTGCTAGAATACTACAGTCATATTCATTGGTTACTCGTTTAATGATAAAGCAACGGTGCTAAGAGCAAACAAGAAAGAAGCAAATAATATATTAATAACGCTGCAGAAATTAGTGCAATAAGACGTCATATTTTATATCAACCTCCTTCAGTATCAGTGATATCAAGAAATACTTACTATGTAGACACCGGGTATAAAGATGGGAGCAGGCACACCTGTGGCCATCTTAGCTTTTAGGTTGCAACAGAGAGTGGAATTACATTGGTTGCAAAGTGGATCGTGTTGTATCCTAATAAATACATGGCTTTGTTATGAAACTGAAGTGTAATGAACGCTCTAGGATCTAGCTCTAGGTTTAACGAAACATATTATAGTTACTGTACTAAGTAATACTTGAAAGAATACGGACTATCAAACTAAATACTTGCATGCTCATTAAACAAATATTCCCGTAACAATTTCATTAAAAAGAAACTAGAACATACAGATTTGGAATACACCATTTTCATTCCCTCCATAGACAGCCTAAGCATCTTAGCAATAACTATAAAAACGCAACACGACCCCTAAAACATCCCCAAACTTCGCATTATGAAAATACAGAACGGTTACAGTAAATACCACATCGATACTGAATTCAGACGATTAGGTCGACCACAATATTATTACGTGACTTGCCCCTAAAACGGACAGGCGGGCAATCTCTATAAAGAGGTATTTGGAACCCTAATTTACACCCCCTCTGCAATATTCCGTGCTCCGGTTATGAAGGTTTCACACTTCTAAATGTGGGGATCTTTCGCTGGTATAGTAGCTATAAGTTTGGTTATATGGCACAATGAGTTAGGCTTGCTACAAAACGCTTTGTCTCCAATAATAAAGACCATCGTGATTCAAAGTAAACTAAGTTTGGAAAATTGGGTATAGATTATGAACTTCATAGACATATGCCTAGCTTAATACCACGCTTTTGTTATCGGAATCTATTCAGAACCTATCTTTAATTAATATCCTTTAAATAGGACATGTAGAAAAATGTTAATATCTCTTAATGAAGGTAGTTTGACGATTAATATTGTATTATCTCAAGAAATAGTTGTCTTGGTATTATGGCATTAAGACATCATTTTCTCAACTCATACACAATATTGGGAAAAAGTGATGCGTTGGAAAAAGTTACGGTTGCGGACTTAGATTTGCTTGAGTAGACCAATTTTTTTGCTAAGCCAAGACAGAAATGAATTCACTAAATTCAAACCTCAGTGTAAAGACCCGTGAAGAAAATGAATAATATCTTACTATGTGTCAATTGCAAATTTCATCGATCCTAAACACTACTACAAAGTTTTTCTTAACACAATTATAAAAATTATTTATTTTAAAACATTAGGTATGATAACTTAATGAAAAATACTTAAAAAATCTACTTCGTCACTGGCAATCTGAGATTTTTTTAAAGCATTTTTATTAAGAATATTTTCTAGTACAGCCTTGTGAATGCAAAATTTATTAACTACACTAAATTCTTATTAACCAAGCAATCAAGTATAAATACTTGTAATCTACAATACTGATTTAGCAAAACGTTATTTTTAGTTTACTCGATAGACAAAAAAACACGTAGTTAATATTTGTCACCAATTTTGCATTCATATCACTATATTGATATTTTACTATAAAGATAAAAGATTCTTAAAAGATTCACCATCAGGTGCCTGCAATGGGATTTGAAACCACAAACTTTCGCAATCCGGGCGACTGCACTAACCATTGACCTACTCAAATCTAACAGGACCGATGAATTTCTCAATCTCTTGTAATTTTTATCAATGTTCAGGTAATTCATCCATTCCATTTCGGGCACTTGGGTTTGATAAATGTATGAGATAGTATGTAATTGAGATAGTGTGTGTAATTGAGGCGTGATATTGAGAAATTTCACAAATATAGTAATGGTTATCTCATCATCATCATCACCAGCCCTTTTATGTCCCCACTGCAGGGGCTCAGACCTTCCTCATGGATGGTTAAGGAGAATGGGCCATGACCCTCCACGCGGGCCCAATGCGGATTGGAGGGTATTAACGACTGCAAATGCAGCCGGGATAACGTGCGGCTTAACGTGCCTTCCGCAGCACGGAGTAGCTCAAAATAATAACTTTTTGGTCACCCATCCCGTGACCGACCCTTGCGAAAGTTGCTTAACGACTACGATCGCGGGCCGCGGCGCTTATCCACTACGCCACCGAGCTACTCATCTAGCTACTTATGGTTATCTAATTACAAAATTTTATCAATTTTTTCTTCACAATGCTGAAAAATATTCTTAATGAAGAATGTTTAGAAAATCCACTTTATCCTTGGCACTCTGAGATGGAATGTTTGGATGGATTGCCTGAACATTGATGAAATACGCTTTGTTTTAGCGAAACAGTAACAAGTGCTTGAAAAAATTGTCAGTCCTGTTAGGTCGTGGGTAGCTCAGTGGTTAGAGCAGTCGCCCGGATTGCGAAAGGCCATATGTTCATGACCCATCTCAGAGTGCCAGCGACAAAAAGGGTTTTTTTAAGAATTCTTCATTAAGAATGATTATCTAGGATATTTGTTGGCGGGTAGTTGCCAAGTAATCAGCTTAAATTCTTAGCTCCGCTTTTTATTTCTAATTTTAATTTATTTAATGCATTTAAATTAAGTAATTACATGTTGTTTCGTAATATATAAATAGTACTTCTCGCCTGCAGTGTTTGTTCTCCTTTTTTCTTCTTCTTTAAAATTTAAAAAACATGACCAGGATGTTTGAAGATAAAATGGCAGAGTTCCAGGCTGAGTTAAATCAGACGGCTTCTACTGCTCGTAAGAGTCCCACCATTGCTGCTCTCAACACGGACTTCATCAACTGTAAAGTTTTTGTGTGCAACGGTCTATCAGTGCTGCGTAGTGAAATTGATGCTCTACGTAATAATGTTGATCGTATCGAGACGCAGTTACGGAGCAAAATACTACTCTTACATGGAGTTATCGAGCAACCAGGTGTGATTACATGCTCTAGGGTAGTCTCGGTCCTTGCTACTAAATGTAAGGTACCCTCGCTTACCACTAACAGCATAACCGCTAGTTATAGGATGGGTAAAGCATCAAAAGCTAGTACTAAGCCATGGCCTATTGTTCTTTAATTTGTCGATGCTTCTTTACGTTTATTCATTAATTTAAGTGAATTTTATGGTGATAGATTAGTGTTTTTTATTCGCAAATCCGTTAACTGTAAATTTCATATCATTCTCTTTTTGCTTTTATGGTGCAATCTCGGCCCTAAGATTGAACTTTAGAATCTTCACTTTAAAGTTCTGAATAAGCGCCACGTATAAATAAATAGTACTTGTAGACTTTCAAACTATTCGAGGTAGCAGAAAATAGTGAATGAAATGCTTTGAATTCCGTGCAACATTTACTTGTAACAATTTGCATGCCTGCATTTTATCACCTCTACAACTCTGCTGCATAGTATCTGAATGCCCGATGGCTAAGCAAAGAGCTTAGAATATTATTTATTGTTAATTGAAACTTTGTTAGCTACTATCAAAGCTTCAATTAAAATGCCGGACAACTCCATAGAAAACGAGAAAGTGATTATTTTACTTTTTTAATGGAAGTACGGGACCCTTCGTGCTCGAGTCCTACTCGCATTTAACCGAATTTTTCCATTTATTGTTGTAATTCTTCTCTTTTTATAGGGAAATCGGTAAATAAGTATTACGGGATGCCGTAATCGAGTCACCAGGACACTCAACGTATTAAACCATTGGTGCCCTCGCGCAACCTCGAGCCCCCCCCACAAGTATAAGACTATACTTATGACTATAACATAAAAACATGAAAAGTATTTTCTTTCCCTCCAAGACTTAAAGATATGTTTCAATTTTACAAAAACTCTACAAATGATCTCGAAACCTTTTAAATGCCAACGGGCCAATAAAGAGCTGCACCTTTCATTGCCTTCTGTGTTTCAGGTGGCACTTAGCACTTGCGATTCAGAGAGGCGTTCGGAACATTTTTTAGAATATGAGCAAAGGGTGTTGAAATGTCGCGACCTTTTCACGAAAATTCCCATTGCATTTGACTGAGAACAGTTTTTGCTAGGGATAGGTATAGCTTACTAACCCTTAATATCGTTTTGTTTAGAGGTTATCAGAAAATAATGTCTTTTTTGTTTATCTATCTATATCAATATTAAAAGAGGAAAAGATTCGTTTTATATTATTCAAAATTTTAAATAGATTGATAGGAAATGAACAATAATTAATAGAAAACATTTAACGTCTTATTATAAAAAGATGAACTTAGCTCAGACTTAGTATAATCCCCGCAAATTACTAATGTGACTAACCGCCATTTTGATGAGATAAAAAGATAATCAGAAGTATTAAAAAAGAAACATTATTTCCCGAAATCAAATTAAATGTCGCTACGGTATTTTCTTGATTTCTCCATGACAACCATTCCGGTTTTCTTTCATGTATTAAAGTAAATTAGTTTTCAAAACTCAATAAACAACTCATATTGTATTTGTACTTTTTCGTATTTGTATTGATATCTAAGTTTCTAACTTTGCAAATGTCAGTTTTTTAAATATGTCCATTTGTTTCCTTCAAAAATCAACTTTTGATAGAGTCGCCATTTAATGTGGTTCTTTAGTGCTTTCTTTTTTTCTAAAAATACTTCCTCATGGTGTTCAACCATCAGTACCGTTAACAAAAAAACACTGATTGACGAGTACATTTATTGAGTTGGGTTGTGTTAATATTACACACAATTTCCATTGGTTTCGATTGTTATTGTTAATTTTTGTTATTAAGTGTTTTATGGTTGATTAAAATATTATGATTAGCACTATTATGATTTTCACAATAAGCAAACCTAACTGCACTAACAATAAATATATTTAATGTCTCTCACTTCATTATTACTTTTGACTTATAGCGTTATTACAAAGTGGATATTATTTTATTCATTAACAAACAAAAGTCTATAAAATTATTATAATAATATGTTGGGGGCTATTTATAAATATTTCAATAATTAATAAATAATTTATTTCTTGCATTTTGTGCTATCTATACTTCCTATTTCTATATGACGTCACGCTGGTGTTATTTAGACGGGGCTCCAACGCATTAGCAATTTAAGGGACTTTAGTAAATAATTCAAAAACAAGCAGCAACAAGGACCAAAGTGTAAGGAAAAATGACAAACAAAATGTCAAAGTTAGCGGGATGTTACTTCATGTTTTCTTTTTTTTTCAAAAGATTTTACCGGCCCTAGCTTCTATGACCTTCAGTTATGTTACTTTATGTAAAAAAGAAATAAAGACAAACTCAGAAACACACTAAATTCTTACGAAATCAAAAAACGCAATGCCAGTAATAAAAAAAAAAAGATTTTACATTATAGTATCCGCCGTATTTCCCTTGCAAATGTCATACAATTTATTTTTATTATGAACTTCCACTTGACTGGAAGACACTGTGATGCGATGAAAGGGGATAGTGACCTCGGAAAAGATGAACGGTGTCAATGGTACGACACACAGTTACCAACTATTACAATGAACGACTTCACCCTCTAATGACATGATTTATTATCACAGTACAAGAAGGAATTCCCTGTAAAACTCTTAATTGATAAAGCTTCATTGTCGTGCCAATGGACGCCACCGCGTGTGCAAATGGACATATCTAGTTTTATTTTATCTTCTCACTAGAGCAACTAGTGATGGGGTCGTCACTAATACTATACTAGGTTTCAAGTGGACAAGTGCTTAAATTAAAATCAAAAACTAGCCGTTTTCCCGCTACTTCGCCCGAGTAAAATATAACCTGTATCATCAACCTATGATATAACTTTTTATGAAAGAATTTACTAGTCAATAGTGCTTTAACTACAACCCATTATGACACAGTTCTTGTTACTAGATCACATAACAATAAATATACCTATCAATCAATATTATGAAGAAGATATTGTACTAATAATATTGGACTTCAAGTAGAGGCAGTGTCGCGAAGTCTCATCTACCCGTTACTAGATGGCACCGTCACCGCCGAAACTACGTGTATCTAATAGGTATACGTCAGTGAGAAAGGAACGAGTAGTAGGTCTAGACAATTGGTAATGCTTCGAATACACCAGTGGGGCCAATGCCAACCTAGAATATTCTAGGTACATATACTATATGTAATATATATAATACTCGTTCCAGCATTTTTCAGTAATCAGTGTACTGAAAACGAGAGCGAATACTATCGAAGTCCGATGCGAAAACTAGTGAAGAGAGAACTATCGGGAGGATCGTGTTGTCAAGCGAGAGTAGAAGTCGAAGAAATGTGGACTTTGTTATTGGATTATTATTAAGTAAATAAAGTTGGATTGTAAATTAAATTTGGGGTTGACTTTTATCATCAGAATAGGACAAAATGGCAAAAACTAGTGATTATTACATAAAAATTGCAAAGTTAAAGTTCGAGTCATCGCCTCACTACGCCAGTTGTGGCCAGTCAGAGGATCATTTATAACAGACCGTAAGCGCCCTCCATTCAGATCGGCCATCTATCCATCACCTAAATTGTCCTAGACCACGCTTTACGGAAATTGATAAGCCTACAATGAGAATTTCTCAATAAGATCTTTTAATTTTGCGCTTCCTATTTTTTATCTGGTGAAGCTATCTCCTGTACTCTTTTATTGATTAAGAATTTATTGTTTGCTAGTTTTATGCTAGGTATGTAGCTTCCCGTAGCTAAAAGAATTTTGACGGTTGGATTTAACCCCCAAACAAACAAAGTTCGATATATCGAATATCCCTTTACTTTTAATTTTATGTATTTTAACGAATGGTATCTCGATAACTAACGAATTCCGCACCTTGACACTTTGGAAAATTAATTCCTGTAGCATCTGTGTGCATGAAAACATATCAACACAATCTGCGTAGTCGCTGATATTAAAGCTTAGCCATATAATTAATTAAAAGAAAATATTTAAATAAATTACGAAAAAAGCAAAAGCTGTCAAATACTTGGTGAAATTGTATTGAAATGAATAGCAGTGGTGTTGCCACTGACAACAAAAAGTCAAAATTTTATTTGTGTTATATACATATTTTTATTTTCTGAAACTGGCTTTAATGTTGATTTTATTGTTAATATTTTAGGTGTGAAACCTAATATCAGGTTGCATGTTCGACGGCGATGCATGTTTTTTGTCTTTTATGTATATTCACCGATATTTTCGCCAATGGTTGACCAACTTTCAAAATTCTTTTTTTATTCGATAGCTTAATGGACCGATGTGATCCTTATATAAATTTTATCGAAATAGAATCAGTAGTTTCCCTTTTATAAGAAAACAAAATACGCTTTTACGTACCATATATCACATAAATATTTAATTTAGATGATATATATTATATTTCGTGCAATTATTATCCTGAATTTATTTCCTGATATTAAATAAGTAAAAATAAGCTACATTTTGAGATATATCACATCACTAGACGCGTTCATTAATTTCAAAATTGGACATGATTCTTTAAGTTCCAAGGTTTGCGCACTAACATACAAACAAACCAAATTAAATAAGAGCTTGTAAAATGCGAAAATGTCATAGCTGGTTGCTCTTTGCAAACATAATTTTTAATTAACTTGAAATATTTCCAAAATATCCAATTGCATATTGTTTTAATAAATTTTTGAATTATCAAAAAACTCGCCATCTTACCATTCACTCTAAAACTACACGACTCAAGAGAGAGCACTCGCATCGGGCTTTTTCTCGGCTCCGAGCTTACGGAACGGCTAGTACTATTATTTGTCGCTAGATGGCAATTTATTATATAACTAGAAAACTAAGACAAAATATGGATTATAGATTTAATTAAAATCGAACATCTTCATAATAAATATACTGAAAAAAATATTTCATCGTTATATAACTTATTCCAATAAAAAGAAATGTACATATTTCAACGTGAGATAGCTTTTTGAACGAAGATACGGAATTTTGTATCAAGCATCGTAACACAAGTGTGTGTTGTTGAGCGTGTTGTGGTGTTGAACTCGCACCAAAAATGTCTCCAAGAAAAAACGGCAAAGTGCGAACTGACAACTAAAGAGTTCGG